ATCTGCGGGTTGATATGCGGTTGTTCAGTGTTGCTGGAAACCAAGTACGTCGAGAAGGTTGTTGAAAGATCCTTCAAAGTGTAAACCTCTGACGATGGTGACTACGCTTGGGCAACCAAATTGAGCTACCTAGCTTGTTAGGAAAGCTTGTGCAACGTTCTCTTATGAGCAGTCAGTTAACGGAATCGCTTCGGGTCAACATGTAAACCTGTCAACACAGGTGTACAGATTGGCATAGCCTTTGCATGAGGCAAAGGTCTAATCAGGTCGACATGGACGTGTACGAAACGGGATACAGTGGACGCAAAGGCACCGAGTGGGCTTTTGCTGTGCCTGTAACACTTGGAGCGCTGACGCTCAATGCACGCGCGAGCCAAGAGGTGGACATCGCTGCTGACACTGGGCCGGACGAAGCGTTCATTTCGGGGCTTCTGCGAGGCACCTATGCCTGGATGCAACGGATTGGCAGTGGACTAAAGATGTGTGGGCACGTTGTTGTGGAAATAACGGTTCGGGAAGAGGACTGTGTCATGGTACAAAGTATGGCAGCCTCAGTTGAATCTAGTGGGACTTCGAGTAGCTTCAACTGGGTGTTGCGTCGAAGCTTGCCTATATCGAGGTCAGCATGTTGGGCAGCAGGCATGTTGTCCAGGTCGAAGTTTGCGCCGGGTGATAAGCTAAACTGGTGAATTCGTGAAAGAGCATCTGCGACGGGAGTACGATCGCTTGAAACATGTCTTATGTTTATTGTGAAATGAGAAATGTAATCCAAGTGTCTAGTTTCCTGCAAAGAGTACTTGTCGGTTACGCCATTGATTACCTAGATAGCGGACCCATGAAGTATCCCTGCAAAAATGAGTCACGAACGCCGGCGTAATGGCTGTCGAAAGCAGAGTTCAATTCCTCCCCTCAAATTAGCTGGTTTCAGCCACTCGAGATGCGGCACATCTGCGCACATGTTGTCAATGTTCTTTTACAAACTACCCCCGTTTCAGTAGCTATTTCCACTAACTTAATGGCCCATAGTATTGGTTGTGCTTCTCCCTTGGTTGATCGTAAAAGAGACTTCAGAGGCCCACATGTCTTGCCATTTTGGGCCATCAGTTGGGAGTCACGTGCTTTTTGTGTGCCTGGATAGCCGGGTAGCGTTTGCGTCTAAGCCACTAGCGCGCGTCTACCGTCACCCCCTCTCGTGCGCGTAGTCTCGTCCGTTACGAGGGCTCAGCTTCTACCCGAATACGTATGGTTAGGAACGTTCTCACGCTAACCGATTTTCCGCCTCACCAGCGCGCACCCAGGGCTAAGCTAACGCCATCAGGTCAGGGCAAATCCGTTCGATAGCCTGCGTTCCAAGCCGTTATCGTATGCATGCTCAAGCCTTGCCCGTGACAATCATATCAGGCTCAAATTCTTATCTGAGGCATCTCTCAGTCTAAACAGCCTAGATCAGTGGCATCTGATCAGTGTAGACTATGAAAAGTGTACCTTCGAGATAGCGACGGAAGTGTATTGTACCTAACTAGATCGCTGGTATATCCATAACGAAGGGGCTGTAATTCGATTCTGCAGGTTGCAGACTTTTCTGGAAGAGAAGTAGAAGTATGCATCGATGGCCAATGATTTGTTGGTTAGATGCCTTCATCGGATGCGCCATTCTTCAGCGAAAGTGGTGCTGTTGCGTCTGGGAGAGCGAGGAGCGCTACATTAGGGTTAGCGTTTTTGAGCTTCTCAAAAGCCAGGCTGGCGTCTTTTGGAAAATGAAGAAAACGTTGATTGCCGCGTAGCAAGTCCGCCATCGGTTGCATAATGCTCTCGCAGTTAGGAATGGACCGTCGGTATTATTTAACCAAGCCAAGCAATCGGCGAAGCTACTTAGAGGATCTAGGAACAGGATAGTAGAGTTTTGATACCAGCGGATGATATCTTGTGGCCAAGAAACTTGTTAAAGCTTTGAAAACTTCGTAGTTTTCGGGGTTGCCCGTAGCCCCATGTTACGTCAATTGTTGAATTAGTGCATCAAGGTGACGGAGATGTACATAGTCAGCGGAGCTGGCGATGTGGGTGTCATACAAATACTTATAAACGCCTTCGGTCCCATGTGTTACCTCATGAATGAAACGCTGAAACGTCGGGTCAGGGTTGCTGAGAACTAATGGCATTCTGAGGTATTCGAATAGGCCAAACGGCGTGATTAATGCTGTTTTAGGTACGTGCTTTGGCGCCACCGATATCTGACGGCAAGCGTGAACTAGTTCGATTTTACGAAAGACCGACTTACGAGCTAAGGCTGCGGAGAGTTCGAGCATGTGTGGAATAGGGTACTTATCCGGTACAGTAACTTTGTTATGGGCCTTGTAATCACATGGGCGCCAATCTCGGGAGTTCTTTGGTACTATACGCAATGGTGATGCTCATGGACTCTTAGACGGGTGGACTGCTCCAAATGCAAGCATCCGCAAGAATTCTGCCTTAACCGAGTTGATCTTGTCCGGCGCTAGTCTGCGAAAGTGGGCCGAAACAAGCGGAACCTTCAGTGCAGAGGCAATGCATAGCGTTAGTCACTGAAGATAAGTGGTTCTGAGTTCGTATGAGTTTAGGATGCTGGTTGAAATGGTCTATAAAAGGCTGTAGAGCGTAAGGCAGGACACGAATGGGAGTGATGGTAACAAGTTTGGTGCTAGTCCCGAGAACACTGTGTCCGAGGGTCGATAAGCTTTTCCTAGCATTGACGATAAGGGCAAAATCTTAGATTAAATATATGCCTAAGATAACGAAAGACACTGCTGCTACGATGATAGGTCAGCGAAAGGTTCGCCGGAGACCTCCGCTGAGTATTAGCAGCTTTTCGTCGCAAATTACAATTGGTGTAACACTGGCGACACGCAGTCTGATCGATGAGGGTGAAACGACCTCAGCTGTGCTAACTTTGGCTTCGCTGTGAATTAGTAAATCGGTGCCGCAAGTTGAATCCCTAACACGGATGAGACGACTTTCGTTTTGGGCGATCGCGTCCGTCGTAATTACTAGCCGGCTGAAAACTTTTTCTGCTTAACGGCGAAAGCAAAAGGCTTGACACACTTACGAGCTGCAGTGCCAAAGCGTTGGTAGTACCAACAGCAAGCCTGCCTTTTTTCCGGAACTGATGCGCATTAAATGTGATTGTAATCGCCTGTGACGGCGAGGAACCACAGTGAGCTGTTGAATTCAGCGACTGTCGCAACTAGTGCATGCAGGGTTTCTATGGTTGACTGTAATCTAGTGACACAAGTGCCCTATGACGCGACGGCCTTGACCTAGCTGGCCTCGGCTTTTGGCTGTGATCGTTTGATGACCCTATCTGCTAAATCAGCTAGTTGGGTGAACGATTCGGAGCTCACTACTGCGAGACTCGCTTGTGTATTTTCTGGTAGCCGCTCTTGCCAAAGTTCACGGAGTATGGTCCTTTTTATGGTTGAGGTACGAAACGGTCGTTGCAACTCCAGTAGGATGGTTGAGAGGAGTTAGTCGCCCAGCTGCAGAACTCTGAATAGCTGCTACAGTCGAACCTTCCCAGTGGGCACGACACACTTAATCGTGACCACCTGAAGGGTCTCATAGCGGTGTTCAGTTAGAGAAATGAAGATGTCTCGAATCTGGATATCTCCTAAGGGAGATAACACATGCACTTTATATACTTTGTGAAGTCGGAAGTAATTCTGTGGTTATAAAAGAGCTGCAAGGTCAGTCAACCACAAAAGGAGGTACAAGTTCCCAAAAAGTTAGGACACAGAGAGATATGACGCTAACGGAAGACAAAATAACTTTGCTGTACATAAGCCGTAGTATAGAAAAATGGATGCCAGAAACGCCGTGGTATGGAAAAGCAAGGCGGAAAAATAATTAATAGAAACGAGCTCACGGGAGAAAATTTCGAAGTACAGGTCTTCGAGGTCCTTCCAACTTCAGGGTCCCAAATTAAGCGGGAGCCTGGAATACAATTCCAGAAGGCGGATCGAGTTGCAGTAAAACTGTTATGTACACAGCAAAAGGTTTTATGCTTCCATACCTAAAACAACCAACAACGTCATAACTGCAAATCATTGGAACAAATCTTCACAGCATACAGTGATCGCGCACTTCAATGAGAATGAGCGCAAAACAAAATGGCGACGCTCAACTCAAGCAATCGAGCTTAACAACTAGTTCGACAATCCGCACAGATCGCCTAAGTGTACAAGGAATTACTGCTTTTAGTTAGATATACGCATAGCAAAACAGGGGAAATCAGACTACTACAGTCCCTTACATCCATGTTCTCCTCTAAGTCGACGATATCGTCGAACAGTGTCCCATATGTGGAACTGTGGATGCAATAACCACTAAATTTTACCGCCCAAAATACAATATGAAAGCCTTAATTGCTGGATGTAAGAGCAATCTCTAGACTAACCGATTCTGCAATTCTGCTTGTGTATAACCCTATAACCTAAAAATACACCTGTGCAAATGTTTGTCTGCTGCCTCCTTCAATCTAGACCCATTGGTAGTGCGTATTCAAGGGGTTGCTATGACGTTCCTTACCTCTGTTCCTCGGGTGGGGAATGGAAGTATAAAGTTGTAAACTAGGGAACAGCTGCGCGGCGAACGCTACTGCGTATTAAAATGCAATGAGGCGGGAGCCATCACCAGTTCTGGTAGACAGTAGTGACTTGCAATGAAAATGGCTGACGGCATGATATAGTTCATTCAGCACCAACTTCGAAAGAGAACTAAGTAGGGTTAGTGCGTTTTCACATATTTGCAAGCTGCCAAATAAGCCAGCTTTTATTCCAAAACAGCCGTTCAGATTCCAACTACAATCGTTGCAGATTGCACTTCCTCAGTTTGGATACAATCGAACACTAATCCACCCATTTTGAATTCTATATCACATCGATAATACGTGAGGTGGGCACTCGTCAGTAGACTTGTTAGCCGGTACTGTGTCTGGTATTAAATGTTATTTTTATTTCACATTACAGAACTGTCCAACACATCAGCTCCCAATGCAGATTGATACAGCAATAGTGCCCGACACGTACCCATGTTCTTCCAATCGACCGTTTTCTCTTTGTTATTTATTGTTCCTATGTACTTTTGCACAACTTTATTTTTGTAAAGTAATATAATCACGCTGAACACAGTACGAAGGTAAAAAATTCTTATCATCTGCGTGGAACACATCAATTAGCTTTTCGCCATAACCAAAAAAGGACACACTTGGAGAACTCAACTGATTATGGTTTAATTATGACTAAAAGCAATATGCAGTACCCAAGAAGCGGATTCCTATTCACAAAACCAATATGCAATCGGAAACAGCATGTCACCCACCCTATCTTCAGCCGATATCGCATTAAAGGGATATGCCATCAGATTTGAGTTACGACAGGGATAGGGCTTTTGCTAGCTTGGGCCAACACAAGGAACATCAAGAGATATTTCAAAAACTGGCTATCATATCCTTTGATTGCATAGCTCTCACAACAGAGGCCAAGTGTATTTCATCTGATCAGGTGCAGCCTGAATTATTTGCGGTGCGTTGTACTTCGTCCCCTTACGACTGCTGGTGCGACGCTTTTGAGTTGCTGACCTTGAAAATCCGATGCGCCGGTTCGTCGCTTCGTTCATCCGAACATTCTGGATGCAATGTGCCGAGCACAGCATTCATAGCGATTATTGTATGCTGCTGAGTGAGATGCCAAATAGAGTACATTAAGTGCAATCTGTTGCAGCTAAGGCAGCGCATGAACGAATGACTGAACAATGGGAAATATCAACACAGCATCCGTTAACCCACATAAATACGTGCATACAGCTGGTGATGGAAGAATATCCAAAAGATGGGGGGATAGTCTACGGCTAGTTTTGTTTGCACCAAACCTTTTTCCCTGCCTGGTCATAGGACCCGTTTTTGGTGACGGCGAAGAAAGCTGGGAACACAGTGAGCTACGGAACGACGTACACGCAGTCAGAAAGTCCAACTGCCGGGCCCAAAAGGCGTTGTCAACAAAGGTCATATTCTAGTCAGGGTTCCATCGTCGGTTTGAATGCACTGGGAACTTATTTGCAGGGATGGCCATTTATCCTCTCGAAGTGAGTGATGAAAAGCCTTGTCATTCGACGCTGACTAGGTAAGCTTGGTAGCCACTAACAGAAAAAGAATTTTGTATATTTTAAGGCTTTATAAATGGGTATGACTGGTGCGATTATTCAGGGGATGCTCCTACATAATTAGTGTTTCCCTCAGTTTTCCTTTGTTAGAAATAATCGTGGCAAATTGAATAGCTTCTTTTGTGAGAACAGTCGGTCAAATTAGAGGCAGTAACGGAAGACAGAATAGCTCCTAAATACACACGGCAGTTCGAGATTGACTGAAGGTTTTCATACTGCGTATCACCAACTGTCGACTCAGCTTTATGCGATGCACCTGGGGAAGTGCACGAAGTGAATGTTGGCTTGCCTCGGAACAGCCTCTAACACAGAACTCAAGCCAAATGCTCGACCGCCTGCACACGTATACTGTGCATGTGGTGAGCTGTTTGGGGATTATGGGATAATAAAGAGAAAAGCTTGATTTTCTCTTATGTCCGGCTTTACGCTCTCTGGCGTTTCAGCTCATCATTCTATGGTTTACGCTTGCGGAGGTTAGCCCACAGCTTCACGTTAATCGGTGTGTGCAGTGTATTTTAGCTTCAGTTGTTTGATTTACTAAAAGAGTCAAAGATGGGTGAACGCATTTCTATGTTGTGGCATCCGGAATTCACACCATGCACCATAACTTTCCCCAACGTTTCCACTAATCTGGGAACGTCTAACTGGAGACTGTGCGACGCTTTCTTGTTCAGAAAGTTGCCAAGCGCAGCTTCCATATTTCTTTTTCCTCCGATCCATCTCTAGCCTGGAAGTCTTCTTTTCTGTGCTCGGATATCGGCTGGGTCCATTCCTGACTCTTTATCGTACGGTTCGCTTCTGACAACTATACAACTGACTCCCAACGGAGTAGAATTTGGTCTGGGCTTGCCACATAACCACTTTTATGAGAGCAACTAGCTGAGATGTTCGGTTGATGTTACCGTTTTCAGCGCTGTTGAGCACTTTGCGAAATACAGAAACGGTGTATTTCGCTGTCATGCTGAGGACGAAGCACACCTTTATGAAAGCAAAGTGTAAATAAGCTGTCATCTTAGCCGTATACCTATCCTCCCACCCGACTCTAACATTTGGCTATGAGTAATACCAAATAGTCTTAACATTGTCAACGGGTTATACTTTGTCGAGCGACCTACTAGAACACCCCATTAGTAAACGTTCAAGAAACTGTAATCAGGTCCAACAAGTCAAAAATTCAAAGTCTTTTCATAAGTTATACCGCGGAAACATATGGCCACGGGGATGCATCCTTACCCGCATGCAAATTCAACGGTACAAAAAAGTAGTAGGTGGAGTTTAATGGTTGAAGTACAGATTCCGTCACTCCAGCCTCAGTCAGAAGGCCCACACATTCCCTGGAAAAGCACTGCACTGCCATTTCTTCCTTCCGGTGTACATTAGCAGTGTACAAACTTTCCGACCAATTTGAGACTCTAAAGCCAACTGGACTGCTACTAGTCCGTGGTGGAAACCATTGTGTTACGGAGGACGTTAAAAATTGTCGTGATTCCATTACTAGATGTGAAGGGGTACCTTTTTCTCTGCAATGTAGTAACTTGCAAACCTATTCTTTGCAGGTCGCAACATACCACATCTGACAACTTCTTCACGGTTGGTCGTTACCGTCCCCACGTAGCTCGGTAGTCTCAACTCAACCTGACAACTGTCGACTTGTGAGTCTGAATCCAACGAGAGTCTGATGGAAGGTGCACCACTGACGATTCCTGAATAATAAATTAACCATACAGTGCTTTTTCGGGTGAATGATGGCTGCCAGGTTTAGTCCAGATGTGATGAATACTTCTGCTCAAATCCACTGTTATGGAGAATCGGGCATAGCAATACATAGATCGGCGCGTAGCCCAACCATCAAGGATGCTTTGTGTAAAGTTCACAGGGTTATCAACGATTGCAGCGACACGTGAAAAAAGAAAGCATAGGTGTATGTACACGCGTGTACGTGTTTATATCACTGTTACATCTTTTCACGCTGTAATTCCGAAATTTGGCAATTAATCTATTCTGCAGGACCTCAAACTTAAACGAAGGAAATTTCAGAACGAACTTGTTCAAATCAACATGTTAACCGCAGTCAAGCTGGAACTGCACAATGGTCGTATACCCTGACTTTCGACTTCTAGAATCCGTAGCTTAACTATCAAAATTAGCATTGCCAGGCTGGGCCAGCAACTTTTCAGGAGCATGTCAGTCACATGTAGGTGGTGGAACATTCATGTAATTTTGAAAAATGATGCGATAGTCGATAGCAATCGATGAACCAATGAAGTACTGGTTTTTTTCGGTAAGTTCTTACTTTCTCCCGGACACCGCTTCTGAGATGGGATCTACGGTCTGGGATTGACTTGTAGTCCGCTGGACGGTCTTGGTATTCTGTTGGTACATCGCCTCAGCTGAAGTGACGAGAATTGGGTCTCGGGGTCTGTCGTGCAGTTTCCTCGCTTGACTGATATCCGTCCTTCATAGGCTCCTTTGGCAGTTTAAATCTTTCCACCAACAAGTTAAACGGACGCTCCGGTGGCTTTAGTTCCTCTGATTGGCGCAGCGTTGGCCTTAGCTCCTTCTTATGGCGATCCCAGGTCTGCGTCCCTACGACCACTTCATACATGCCATTCGCGCGCTTGCCTTTGATTGTGTCAGGTGTCCAATTTATTCAGCTAGACCAACTGAGAAAACGTTTACCTCTTCAGGCTTCTGGATGCAACAATGACAATGGTGTCGAAACAAGTCGCAAAGAGCCGACCCAATTATTATTCACGCTACCGTTAACTATGAATACAAATCCAGTGTGCAACATCGAACTAGCAAACAAATTGGTGGTAGACTTCAAGGACTTACACGGAAGATGATGCAACCTCTATCCACCTCAAGTCAAAACTTACCCACCATTTAACTCGGTGGACGCTTAAAATAATGATTTACTTATTCGATGATCCTACAAATGTTATTATTTACTCTAACCATCCTACGGGACTTGTCAAGCACATGCGTTTTTGCCTGTGATAATTCATTGTTCATTGTTCATTACTAAGTTGGCAACAAAGTCCGAAGCAAAACGGTTTTATAGACGTCAGCGTCCCTTCACCCTTGTATACTAAGGATGTAAGTCCTTTTTTAGACTATCGTATACCCCCACCTCCTCCCCCACTAATCCAGCCACTATCTCCTGCCATTATGAATCAGAGAACAATCAAACTACTGGAGCATGTACTTCATTCAATCCAGTACGAGGTAGAGCTCAGTAGACCTCAACTACCTCATATCACACAATTCTTAGCTACAATATCGAAGAAACAAACCTTGTCCACCCCTTATATACCAAACTAACAATGTTTTTCCAATCTGGCATCATTAACATTCATTCTCTATCACCTAAATTAGATCTACTTCCAACACTTATGTTTACGAGATTTCCTAGTACGACTTTTATTACTGAGATTTGGTGCACATCAGAAATTAGTGCTTCTCAGCCTCATATCTTAGGCTACAAACTTTTCTGCAAAGACCGCTCACACATACGTGGTGGTGGCTGTTTCCTATTCCATCGAAATAACCGAACTGTTCTTCCCACAGATCAAACTGTACCCAATGGTTTAAATAAATAAATAGTTTCTTCCCGGCAGTGCGCGGCACGCCAGTAAATGCATGATCATGATAGTACAAACATGTATGCTCCGTAATTGCACACCAAATTACAGCTTAATGAGTAACATATGTGTAAGTAAGCAGGTAGTTGTTTGTGTTACGTGTAAGTAGTGCTGTTGAGTGAGTTCGTTCATGTGACTGAATTTGTGGTTTCGTTCGCCGGATTCTCCATCGAAGAAAGACCCAAGGAAGACATTGAATTGGATGACTACGTGATGTGTGTAAGATCCTCCGAAAAGGCAAGTAGATACACTATGG